AGCTTTGAGATTTCAATTATGGGCAGTCCAATATCCCAGATCCCTGAATGCCAGTGGAAATCAACCTCTGCTTTAAAAACCAATTACTACCCACACAATACTGAGCTGTTGTTGATCAGTAGAAGGAAATTCCATTAAAAACTTACACTCTCGACAGCATTCCCTCCTTATCAAGACTCTTTGATTGTTGAAATAATTTGCAGTTTGTGGCTCTCTGGTACTGAATACACAAACAGTTGAGGAAAAAGACAAAAATTTCTCAGATCTACAAGCAGTTATGTAACTCAGACATACTCATGAAACAAACATTTTTATGTTCTGAATAAATGTTTTAACACATTTATTCTCTTGCATAAGAATAAAGTTGTCACGTATCCTTCAGAAAAACATTCACAAGCTTTAAAGTGCAAAATAGGTCATCACAAACACATTACCTAATACCATGTTCTCTACAGTCCCATTTAAAAAGTCCCTTTTCAGATGGCCACCACATTTAATGCCTTTGATTCGTTATCTCTTGCTTTTTCCTAAATCATGTGACAAACACGGTCCACTTTTAAAAGGCAAAGGAGATATTCACATAACCCATTCCTGTTTTCTTGCCAAGATTTTCTATTGGCTGCAGCTCTCTGCATTAGTCCCCTTTGAAATACCTCAGCCAAAACTGGCAATCAACCTGAGCTGGAGGAAGAACCTGGGAAACAAGAACCTAAGAGAATTGGTCGTGCAGGCTACAAGCAAATGCTGTGTGAGTGATCACAGACCTTAGTGCCACTGAAGGAACACAAAGTTCAAGCCTTTAGCTCTCCCACACCTCCGCAGCAGTTAAGGAAAATGCATTGCCTTACCGTTTGTTCAGCCTGAGACAGATGTGTGCTCTTACAAGCCTTGTTTCAATGTTTAATGTACCTGAGAATTATGCAGATGACATGAGAGATTCATGAATATGTATGTATCTCAAATAAAATACATCAGCATGCTTCAAAAAAGTCCCCTTCTACAAATGAAGCTAGAAACAAAACCCCCAAACAGCAGAGGTTGTGGAATAATCATAATTCAAGATATGAAAATGCTGATATGGGGGGAGAAGTTTGCACTACACAAAGCTGGAATTAAGACCAAAAGTAGGGAATACTTGGGCATTTCTCTTGTTTGCAAATAAAGAAAATATTATTTACCACAATAATATTTTACCATAAAAATATTATTTATCATAAAAGCATAGTTTTAAAATGAAAACTAGTAAATTATCAAATCTAAAATGAGCATAAGTTTTCAAATGAAAATATTGAATCAACATTAGATGCTATAGAACATTTGATAACGAGAAGTTTATAGATGATAAAATGCGTTTAATAAACTAGTAGTGTTGTCAGAAACCTCCACTGCATTGCCTAATTGGGGGTAGGGAGAAAATGTTCCTCTCACTTTTCCTGTCTTTCCTTTGATTGAGAACTCTTTTTAAAAAATGCCATAAATGCAATTTAAACAATTTGTTAAAGAATTATTTTTTTAAATTCATCAAAACATTAAAGTCCTCTAAGCTCTTTAGTCTATAAAAAAGAGGATCTGTCATAGTCAAAATAACATTTTGTTTATTCTGAGACAACCAAGAGGAAATTCCTTAAAGACCAGTCAATATAAAAGTCAGCATTGGCTGGAAATTATTCTGTCCTCAGTGAACTAGAAATAATTGTTAACAATCAGACACTTCAGCAATCACCTTAGATGAATCAGATCTTTACAGCATTCTTTGGAACCTCACAGACTACCAATGTGCCTTGAAACAGATACATGAACAGACAATGCCAATTGCATTTGTTGCCAAAAAACTCCATCCTTATTGAAATGCATGGCATTATTACAGGCCCCAGATAAAAGTATCAAAAAGAGATGAAAGTGTTCAAGACAGTTCCAATGAACTGTCAGGCTGGAAGATCTAGAGAAGAGCTGTAAGGAGTGCTAACAATAAGAGCAGCACTCATACAGGAAAAGCTTGGTCTAATCAAAACAATTAAAGGCAATCCTAACAAGTTAAAACTCTGTGTCATCATTACACAACAATACATGACAGCTAGGTCCCACACACTGTATTTCCTGAATTCAGGCTAAACTAAGCTAAGTTCATGATATCTGAACAATCCGAAACAGCATGAAAGAAATTCAGTAGCACTGCAAATGAAGAACTCTGGCACGCTCATTCACCAGAGAGAAGGGAAAGGGCAAGCACTATTCCCTTTCCAGCATTCGTATCACAGCACATGGGGTGACAAGGCACCACAGTTACCAACTGCAGAGAGGATAAGTGGTTTTAAGGAAGCCTTCTTTATCTACTTGGATTTCATTTGCAGATAGTAGTAAAATAAAGCAAGAGCTATTTTTTGAAGTCTATTTTTTGAAGTCACACAGTAATATGTAGAACATAAACAGATATTTGATTTAATTAGTTTGGACCTGAAAGATGCCATGGTTTTAAGGTACATGCAGTACCGTGTTGACCTCTGCTAAAAAGACTTGCAGCAACCACTCAAGGCTGATTACTTGCATGGACTGCAACCATACAAACAAACAAGACAGGTAAATTTTTACTGTGATCTATGCAGACTGCAGGTCTGTCTACATGTATGCCTTGCTGAGGTGAACTTGGTAAAAAAAATATTGTAAAAAGAGTAAGATACAGCCTAAATCCCAATGTGGTATAAGCTACAGCCACCTCACACATGTGCATGCAGATTCCAAACCTTTATGATGAGATCCTGATTCAAAAACAGGTTACAGAACTAGCACTGCCCTTTGTCTTCCACCGCATACTCTCCTGTTTTTTCCCCTTCGTCCACTACCTTATTCCTTATCTCAACTACTGTAAATCTGGACACTGGGTCCCACTTCCTCTTTACTTTTAGCGCAGTGTAGCTCCAGTTGTCCCACCCTGGCACACTATTCAAGGCACAACAGTGCTTTTTCACATCTTTCACACATCCCACAGCAACTGCAGACCACAACGCTGTGGTTTCTACGACTCATGAAAGACACAGTAATCTTGTAAGTTGTAGAAATGGAAAAAACATGCAAATAAACATATGCATGAGCCAAATGCATCAGAAGACATGAAATTAACAGGAAAAGCACTAGCAGGAGAGGAATTAAAGTGCCTCTGATTATTTTCCAAGTTATTTTGTGGTTGCACTTCATCTTAAAGGGCTTTTTCAACCTAAAGGTTTCTCTGACTGTCATGTCCAGAAAATTTTTAGTGCTCTGTTAATTACAGAGTCATTTGGAAGAAATATTCACTAACTCCAAAGTGTTGGGTTTTTTATGGGGCTAGTGTGATTTTGGGGTTGATTTATTTTTTTTAATTCATTAGCAATTTATTTCTAAATAATTGACTATAGCTTGCACATTAAGGCCAAGAATCAAAGCACTTCTAACTCTGTAGTTGCCTGTCTTTCCCCTGCAATGGCATTTGGATTAAAAGTATTAAGATGATACTAAGAGAAGAGCTACAAATACCAGAGGCTACTCAACACAGGTGATAGAAAAGAAGTTTTAGTTTAGCCTAAACAGGAAAAGTTAGCACAAGGGTTTATGTTGAGTATATACCTACATCCTCTCACATCCCTACCTGATGAGCACAACAAACCAACTTTTTCCTACTCTTTAATATTTTCTGTGGCTACTTTGCTGTAATAGTCTCTGTGGTTCAATTTCTGACAAAGTAAGAGCTACATAAGCATCAAAGACATGCTCACACTTACTGGTGTGTTTGAGGACCATTAAATACATTGTATATGACTACATGTGTTAGATTTATATCTTTCTCATGCCTGCCTGACAATCAGTAGGTCAAATGGTCTTGTGGCTTATTTGGTATCTCTCAGTTCTTATTTCTCAAACCAATCATCTTTCCCATGACAACCCATGTCTGTTTTCTCAGAAAAATTAAATCTCTTCCTGCATTCCTAAAAAAAAACCAAAAACAACTGCAGCTCTCTGTCAGCTCCTTTAACTTTCTAATCAATTAAATAAAAAATTAAATCAATTAAATATAAAGCACAAAATAATACCAACTTATTATCTGAATATACATTTTGAAGGGTTTCCTAAGGTTAACACTCAAAGAACAGATTCTTTCCCTGTAAGACACAAAGCCTTCAAGTACATCCTGAAGTTCTTAGCAGGAGAGGCTGCATGCCCCTGGTGCTCAGGAGCTCAGCGTGCTGCCAAGCACACTCCCACTGCTCAAAGGCAGCTACACTGTGGGAAGGCAAGTGCACACTAAGAGCACTGTGCTGATGTGCATCTCCATGCCCAAGTGCTGCCCAGGTGCAGTTAACACATCCCACTTCAGAAACAGTGATGAAAAGTTACTGACAGGAGCAAACAGTTCTGTAGAACTGCTATTGCCATTTTATTTTTAGAAGGCTTTTCACAGATACCCATCAAAGCCATGTTCTTGCTACCATCATACCATCATTCTTGCTGCCATTTCCTATACAAGCCAAGCTCAAAAAAAATCTTTACCGCAACTCAATTTTTTGGTTTGATAAAAGAATTGGCATTACAGGCATAAGGCTCATTGAGAAAAAGGTGCCATTAAAACAAGCCCTCTTCCTTCAGTGAGAGGCTGTAGTGCCCTGGAATAAATGTCAATTTTCTGTTGTGAATTACACATCTGAATTTGTCACAATACTCATGATCCTAATAGGGAAATATCTTCACATTTGGTACACTGAAGTAGAAGGCGGCAAATTCCCTGGTAAAAGGGGGAATCATGCTGTGGACCATTCTTGCTTTCAGGAATGAAATGGACAAAATGGATGGAGGGATAAAGCATCGACCATAAACTGAAACCCAAATTACACCCAAAAACCAGATCTCCCGAAATTCAGTTTTTGCCATTTAGATTACATCAGGTATTGTACTAATGGTCTCCTATTGAAATTAGGCTTGAAACAAAAGTGTACCAAACAGAAACAGCTGATCAGGCCAAAAAGCCTCACCTCAATGAGATAGTGAGAACATAAACTGAGAAGCTCCAGCAGCTGCAAATGACTCCCAGCTGCTAGGACGTCCTGTATCACCCCTGGTTCCAAGAGGATCTGTAAAGAAGAAAATGGAAGGTTTGTCATCTGGAAGATGTACTCAGAGTACTGGTGGAATATATTAAATATCTGAAATAACAAAGGCCTTTAAGTCAACATAAACAAGAGAATACAATAAAGCATATAGGGAAACCCTTTACAGAATAGGGACAGATTTTCTAAAGTTCATCTGAATTTCCCAAAGGATTTTTAAACTTTTTTTCGTTATTTTCTTTTTCCTGTAAGAGTCCCAAAGTCACAATATCCCTTAAACCCTTTGAAACTAAATGTGTGCTGTTTAAGAAGGAGACTTTTCAAAATAACAGAAGCTCATTTTGTTATCTGTATACTTAGATCCTTCCACACATACTGATGAATCAGGCCAACAGAATTGACTCACAAGTCTCCACTAATAATATTATTCATGCATGTAAAACAAATATAGACTAGGAACACCCTGCCTATTCTGCATGGTGCCACTTTATAATTTTCCTAACCACAGTCTTCATTTGAGAGAGCAGGGCTCTGAAAGCACAATGAGCATGTTGCTGGGGAAGTGCCAGAGAGGGCATGGAAACCAAGACTGATTATTCAGCTACTTGCTCACACGAAACTCCTACTCATTTCAATTAAAATCGTGTACAGGCAGCAGTAAGGATAATTGGGCCACAGCTTATAGACCACTGTCTTGGGGTCAGCTTGTTAGAGCATCCCTTTTGGGACACAAATATGTCTTTGGGAATATGGACACTGGTCAGCTTCTTATTAGCAATCAGATGACAAACTGTCTATATTAAAATCTTTTAAATAGCACAACATCAAAAAAAATCAGAAATGCATGATAAAAATTAAATTTTCAAAGCTGCTTGCTATATTCAATTTTATCCTTGTACTTCCCCTGGCAACTTTGGTTTCTCACCACATGAGGTCAGTCTCTCACTGCTCCACAGGGAAGCAAAGCTTGCTTTCAGATTCCTTTCTTTCTGCTGACACAATTCAGTTTTATCTCACAGCATAATCTGTGTACCTCAAGTGCAGTGGAATAAGGAAAATGGAAAACAAAAGGAAAGATATTCAAATGCATCTTTTGTAGTTTAACTATTTTTGAGGGAAATGAAAAAAGTGTATGCATTTCTTCAAGCAAAACCACAAAGTATCTCCAACATAATGGATATATTAGGAGGAGGACAGAAGGGGATTGATCCTTGATTATATCAAGAACTCATTTACATTGAGTTCTGGCAGCATATGAAATCCTTAATGCTTGTGCAAATCACTACATTTATTAATACTAGATTTTAAGTGAACATTATATGTCATTTACATACTATATAAAACATGAAGGCTCTTTATCTAGCCAGAAATTCATGTAAGGATCCTACTGCAAATGAGAAGCAGGCCCAGCACAATCCAGGTTTTTGGCTGGTGCTGCTGAGGTTGCTATGAATGATGAGAGGTAGTTGAACAGAAAGTTAGGATGGATTTCAGTAAGAAAAATATCTCCAACAGACACAGATATTAAAAACAAACAAATAAAATCATGTCACTCTCAAGTATTTTCAAGTGAGAGCTCAAGGTCAGACAAAACAAGCTGGTATAGACCCTGCAGTGTTTTCCATTCAGACATGATTGACACTGAGGAGCTGCCATCCTCTGGCACATTACTTACTGTCAGCCAGAGAACCAGAGCCCTAAGCAGATTAGTACCTTGTAGGCATAGACAAACTGTATCTAATTGCAATAATATTCATGTCTTTTAAAGCTACAGCAATCCATTTACAAATAATACTAATAGCACTCTGAGATAAGAAGTAGGACAAGAGGCAAGGAGGGTGGCTGGCTACTGTCCAGAGATGATTTGCACAAAGTCATCAACAAAAGTTCATTTCAAGGTGGCAGATGTATTTCCTACATGTTCATCCATTTTTACAGCCCTCCATTACCATGCAATCTATATTCTACTGAGAAAACAGAATCACTTCTGTGCTTCCCAAGATAAGGGAGGAAAGTCTAGTTTATCTTTTCACAAAACTTCGTTTTAAAGTGAACTATCTGAACTTTTATTCAATACTCATTTGGATATCGGCAAAAAACACTAATTTGCCTATGCTAAATGTTCACCACTGGGAAACTGCAGGCTGGTAAAATCCACAAGGAAAATAAAATTATAAGTAAAGAAGGAAGAAAATATTGCAAGCCTTCCCTCTACTGAAACTGGGGTAATTCACAATTATTCCACACCTTTGAGCTTTTATACAATAAAGCAATTGCTTAGTTTTTATTAATTACCAGCATAGGTTTTTATATGTCATATAGGCCTTCCAGCCCAATACTAACAGTAAATGCACATAAACACCAAATATTAACAGTAAATGCACATAAACACCACCAAATGCACACCAAAAGTACAAACAGTGACTGAGCCTCTCTCCTCTGCTTGTCTAAATCTCAAAACAATAGATCTGAGGTCATAAGAATGATGCTTATTGCAAATTAAGGAGAGTGAAACTAAGGTCTACTTTGGATTCACAACCTCAAAATTCATCATAATTCTCAGTGTGAAAATATAGAGAGAAGCCTAATCATTTCCTGTAATCCATCCTCAACCCAAGCATTATGAGGCATAATTACTGGGACAGAAACTTAAGAGTAATTTGGACTCATCAAATTCAGACAAAAACTACAACCTTCACCAGTGAAGAATGTACTTTCTCATGACACAGGCTATATTAGAGTGGTTACTGTATTATTTTTACATTGAGATTAATTAGATGCACCTGGCTGCACCTTACAATCACCCCTGTATCCAATCCTTATTTTGAGGGGTAATTTTCATTATACTTTCAACTTCTCCCTGGCATATGGTAGTACCCCAGAAAATCCCCTTAAGTACCCTTTCCCTGTATATTACAGGCAGATTTTGTGATACATGATACACCCTTTCCTAAGCCATCAAGCCTGACATACTGCTCGTTTTCAAAATGATTTACTTTGACAAACTACTTTGCCCTGACAATGACTGTTTTCAAACAGGAAACCTGTTCCTCAAAGCTGCCTTTCTACTTACTCTCCATCATGCCACAAACCCGCCAGAGAAAATACATAAAATACAGTCTGGTCCCTATTTTGGTCAGACCCACAGCCCAAGAGATTGAAGCGATGCAAAATGTGACTGTCTGTAACAGAATGTTGAGGTCACAAGATCTAGAAAGGCAGATTATGTAATTTCTTAGATATACTATTTTTAGACATATAATATTAATCTATCTGGAAATGTATCCACTTATACTTCGTGGATATATTGCAGAAAGTTTCTCTTCAAATGCAAGAACTAGAAAATGGTAAATTAAACCTGACTTTGTCAACCACATTATTGAGGCAGAAAAGGGAATTTTATAACCAGTCCCATTGTTACAGAAACACAGGGGCCTTAACACCCTGCCCCATATTTTTACCCTCCAGCCAGCAGTTCAAAACTAGAATTTATTCCCTCTTAACCGAAGATTTCTTTCTTCCTTTCCCAACTCAACCTGGATCCCCTTCCCCTCCAACACCTTAGGATAATGGGTAAGCAAGGGAAAATACTTAACTGGTATCATGCATCTTTTCTCTCTCTTCAATCTTTTTTGAGACTTGTGGCAACAGAGTGTTGCCATCCTTTCCTCAGAACAACTACTCAGGCCTCACCTCCACATTGTCCAGATCAAAAACATCCTACTCTTTTAATCCTAGCCTCCTACAGCAAACAAAGCCCTATAGGCCAACAAAAAAAAAAAAAAAATTAAGGTCAGAGCAAAGAGGGCAACAACAGCCAAAAAAGAATGAAAAGGAAACTCCTTAAACTGTCCTTTCCAACAAATCAACTTAGAGCCTGAGGGAGAAGGTAAGATCCAGATTAACTGTCACATCTGTGGAGTCTCATGAGGTTTATATCTGGAAAGAACAACTAGAACATTCTATTCCCTAAATACTGCAGGCCACTATATTTATCCACACTAAACAATAGCTGCTTTAGGCCCAAGAAGGCTAAACTGCAGGTTGAAGATGCACTTTTATCACCTTCATTCCAGCTACTCATATATCCCCCATATTTTTCTCATTTTCATACAGCTGTTTGTGGGACAATGGAAAAGTGAGATGGTGGCATGATTAACATTAAAAATATACCAGTATTATGCTGTAACAGTAAGAAAATATGCAGCCATATTTAATTTGGGAGAAAACAACTTTCCAAAGACAGCACAGCACACAAGTGGTTTCTTAGTGCTTAATACCAAGTTCTCCTAAGTCCCATTTTCCAAGAATAAGGAAAGATGCAGCCCTGTCAGAAAATTCTAGAAAGTAAACTGTATGGAATTTTACAAAGAAAACAAGAAAAAAATTTCTAAGATTCCTGCCACTCTGATAAAAAAAAAAAATCCTCCTTGACTCCCCTTGCAGTGATCAGCATCTCAAACAAGACAGGCATCAAACACAAGTATCAGTTGTTTTTGCCTGATGGAGATCATTCCATGTGCTTAAGAGCAATCAAACACCTTAACTTTTCTTTTAAAGTAATTTAGACTGCATTTCACTCCCAACCAGATAGCACTTCTGCCTGTCTCCCCGCTCATTCATGATTCAGTTGAATACTGAGCTCCTTGCACATTGACAAGTGCTGCTTCAAAAAAGTGAGTGAGGAAAGAATGTTCTAGTCCCCTGCAGGCAACTGCCCAAAGCCCTGGCACACAATGTTTGGTAGCTCTTGCTATAAAATCCAGATGTCTCATTAGCCAATGCCAGAAAGCATCATGACCAGCATTTCTCTGATGCATCATATTATTTTTTCCAGAAAATTAGAAGAAAACCCATGTTAAGTGCACAGCATACACATTATAAAATCAAAGAATATTTCAATTTGAAAGGCTCCCATAAAGATCATCTAGTCCTATCTCCCTGCTAATTTCAGGGCCATCCAAAACTAAACAAATGTCCAGACATTCCTTGAACTCTGACAAGCTTGGTGTCATGACCACTTC